TGATAAATTATTGGCCATATTTGTTATGCAACCGTTGTCTTTGAGATGCTGGAGAACAATTGCATTTATCTGATGTCTAGACCCAATTTAATGTCAATTTAAAGTCAGTCGATTAACGAAACATGCGTCTTATAATTTAGCACCACATTCTCAAGAGGGCTGACGATGCAACGAACAATGATATTGGCACCTCACAAATGCCTTATTTGATAGGGTTTAAAATGTGTTTAAAGCTTTCGCCAGCGAATACAGCATGACTGCCAAGTTCCTCCTCTATTCTTAGCAGTTGGTTATACTTGGCTAGGCGCTCAGAACGACACGGAGCCCCAGTTTTGATCTACAAAGAGAGGAGACAGCAAGTACTTCGTTACTAAAAAAGGACAATCACCAACAATCTGATAAAGCACTAAATTTGTGAGTTTGCATGAGGAATGAATGAGTTTCTCAAAAGTTGTAAGTAGACAGATTTGTGAAAACTTTGGCAGAAGTGGGCTGGTCAAACCACTCTTTCTCACCTGTCCCACATTAAGACCGACAACAATATCTGCAATAGTGGAGTCCTCAGTCTCACCAGAACGATGGGAAACCATGACATTCCAGCCTCTCGATCGTGCCAGCTTTGTAGCGGCCAAAGCCTCCGTGAAAGTGCCAATTTGGTTCACTTTTAGCAGCAAACAGTTGCAAGCGCCAATATCAATGGCCTTCTGCACCCGCTCAACGTTGGTCACTGTCAGATCGTCTCCAACAATCTATCGAGCAACAGTGGAGGCATAGGTCGGTATTTGAATGGTATTCAAATGGTCGGTATTTTGGTGTATGACGGTTCGAGTGGAAGGATTAAAAGTGGTCAAAGGGAGACTGTGGCATGGGATTAAAAAATTGACATATCGAAGATAAAGAAGCTAGAAAGTGGGGTAGTGTGAAGCTGGATAACTGACCAGTAATGCAACCAAAAGAGCGCATCAAGTGCAGATAGGATGGCCCCATGAGGGTACTCTGGCTGCTTTCCCAGAGGATCAAGAAAAAGCATTAAGCGGCATCATTTTCAGACCAACCAATCATACTAGCCTGAATTCGAGACTGCTTAGTGAACAGAACCCAGGGTTCCCAATCATCCTGATCGAAGGGATCTTCAATGCTGACGATGGGATACTTGGCAAGAAGTTCATTATATAAAGCCATCAGCCTTTCTGCTGTGATGTTATCACTTGGATCTCGTTTGGATTCTTTGAAGCCCAAATTGTACTTTCCATTCTCGTACAATTCCGAGGCCGCGACGTCCATTCCAATGACTATTTTACCACAATAGTTCGCCGTAGTTATGGCCTCGGTGAGCAAATCCAGAGCTATAAAAGCGAAATGACAAATAATGAGGCCTTCTAAGCGACTTCATTGTAATATATGCGCTACTACCTTCGTGGGCTCCACTGACATTGGGTGCGAAACCGCCTTCATCACCTACGTTGCAAGCATCAATGCCATACTTTCGACGAATTATGTTCTTCAGATGGTGAAAGGTCTCTGCACCCATTCGCAAGGCCTCCGCGAAAGACTTGGCCCCAACTGGAAGGATCATGAATTCCTGCATAGGCAGTTTGTTGCCCGCATGTTTCCCACCATTTATTACATTAAATGCTGGAACCGGAAGGGTCACTCTTGTCACACCTGCCATGTTTGCCACATGACGGTAGAGAGGAATGCGCTGGACAAATAAAAAATTTTGGGAGTTGGCAGAATTGAGCTGGAAAAAAC